TAGCGCTTTCTCAAAATAATTCCCTTCCTTATAAATATCTCATTTGTTATACTAATTCATCCATTTGTGCATTTCAATCATAATTATGTCACCCCTTATCCATCTTCCAAAACTGATATATCCTATATTAGGAGGGAACAAATATAAACCGTTACACTAAAACGAAAAAAAGTTCACGGGTGAAAATTGAAGGGCTTAAAAAAATGGTAAAGTAACCATACGCCTAGCTTGTTCAGGCCCTAACTAAGCAATCCTAGGCCTAAGTTAGTACATATATATGTACTACACTAGCCCTAGGGAAAGTTAGGTTTGGTTATTGATTTATTATCCGGGCCATTATAAAATTAACGTGTACCTTTATTTTGGTGCAACAGGCTATACATTTTGTAGCTATATCCATAGAAACTACCCATACTGTGCTGTACATATATCATTTTGGTATGTATGTACAAAAGTATCCATACTTTTGGATGGCAGGTTTTTATTATTATTATTATTATTATTATTATTATTATTATTATTTTCTACCACAGACGTGGCCACGCATTTACAATGCTAACCAGCATATATACACTTTCTTCTGTCCTCCATAGACAGGATAAGGCGGTATATTCTTGAGCACTCATTCTTTACTAGGATCTCGGTACTACAGGTGGATTTGTTCTCTACTCATTGTCGGGAATCCCGGGCGGGACAGACATGTTTTGACACCACGTTTCCTATCACCTAATGCCTCTGTTCACCTAGCAGTAAATAGGTACTCGGTTGTTAGACAAGTGTTGTGGGGTTGCATCCTGAGGAGGGTCAGTAGTTCGACTTTTAGGAGAGCTACCTCGATATAAAGCTAACAGGTATATAAAAACACAATGAGCCACAGAGATATTAGAAAGAACTTTTTTAGTGTCAGAGTGGTTGACAAATGGAATGCATTAGGAAGTGATGTTGTGGAGGCTGACTCCATACACAGTTTCAAGTGTAGATATGACAGAGCCCGATAGGCTCAGGAATCTGTACACCTGTTGATTGACGGTTGAGAGGCGGGACCAAAGAGCCAGAGCTCAACCCCCGCAAACACAACTAGGTGAGTACAGGCTGCCTGTTCCTAACAAAATTAATTATTCAGAACCTTAAATGCGATAAGTGCAATCTAAAGGAAAATTATTATTTATGTATATGAAAAGCCCACACAGGTGCTGCTCAAGATGCTCTTAACTGGACACGTTGCTCTTAATTTTGCCAACTTCCTATAATTACGCTAAAATACTGTATAATAAGAATTACTTTATAAATAAATCCCACACAACCCCCCCTCAAAGAATCCATAATGTACAACTTTCAATGTCATTTATCAGCTTACAATTATTTCTAAAAATTTACTTAGTATTAATGTAAAATTAAGTCTGAAAATTTACTACAGAGCTGCATATAATTACTGTATAAACTTTAATGCACTTAGTTGTAACACTTTAAACCACTGTTTCAAGGGTATTCCTCTACATTATATACATCAACTATAATATTCTCATATGTACTCTTAAATGTTTGTGACAGACTACAGGAAACGTTTTAGTCGGTACGTACCCACGTTATCTGTTGGCTATACTACGACGGCTGTGCCGGAAAATCCACCCTATCACGACAGATGATAAATAATATATATATATATATATATATATATATATATATATATATATATATATATATATATATATATATATATATATATATATATATATATATATATAAGATACAGTGAGAGACATTAACAGAAATAGATATATAAAAATACAGGTCAAGTTCACTCCCATCTTGAGTAAGCACTGCTGCAACGGATGGCCTGCCTATCATCTTTTATCTGAATTCTGCACACAGTCGAGATCTGTGGAAGACTCGTCTCCTCCGGTTGGACTGGTAAATACACCAGAGCTCTAAATAGTGAAGAGAGATTTACGGGGTTAGTTGTAATGTCTATAGCCATTGTTCTCAGGGTCCAACTTCGTGGCCAACCGTATGTTGGCAACCGCAACACGACGGGCGCCCAGCCATTAGCCTCACGCTGGCTGGCTGCGCCATTCTTAAGAACATTACTCTTAGCGACCATTCATTACTCGGCTGACTCGCATTTAGAACATGTTCTTCCTCGACATTTAGATATGCGGGAAATAAAGTTAACCTACCATGTGAAGGATTTGGCATATAATTAGTTCCTGGTTTATCCTGTGCCTAACATTATTGTAATTAACTTTATTTAAAAGTTTGTTCCTAATTAAAAATGTACAAACTCACTAATATGCTTCTAAGGGTCAGGCTTCAAACGACTTCATGTAAGGAAAAAGCTCCTAGCATACAGTTTCAATATGAACATCGAAATCTTTCCTAATGAGGCTAAATATTAAGAAAAAAAGCTAGCGATAGTTATATCCTATGATTTTCTAGCCACCTGTAACTAGTGTCACGAAGCAACTAACAAAACAACAAGTGCCAGACGACAAAATCATTTCTTAAAGTTGCCCCCTAAACGCAAGCAGCGGCAAGGCAGCAGAAGCAGCAAGAATGGCTTTCAGTCTGGCAGACGCCTGCCATCAAAGGCTTCACAAATTAACTGTGTGCGTGTTCACAAGTCAACCCCCGGGAGGCGCGTCCCCACAGAAGCCTAGCACATACCTTCCTGCCACTAGCTAAACCACCGTCTTAAAATACGATCACATTATGAATTTAGTGTTCATTTAAAGTAGACAGTTTTGCGGAGAATTAAGATTATATAATAGTTAAGCGACTTCAATTATTTTAAAACATTGTAAATTTGTTAAAACTTAAGGTGCCACTTTCCTCCAATAGCTTATTATTTCTATTATTTTTATACAAGTTGGCAGTGTTTACACCCAAATATTAACTAGGCATGCGGAAGGTGCGAGTTGAGGAAAATTGCTTGGGAGGAGCACCGGGTATTTTACACTAGAAATTTTCACCTTTTGACAATCTGAATGTCGAGCCACTTCCGATGCAGACACAGCTGTGGTCTATGGTTTATAGCTCTATCCCACCCTTCCGGTGCTCTATAGCTGCATACCTCTATACCATCCTTCCGGTGCTCTATAGCTGGTCCCCTCTACACCACTTCCCGCCTGGTGTTCTATGGCTGTTCCCCCTCTATACAACAATTACTGTACTACAGGTATCTAACAAAGCTTGCAGTCCAATAGTACAGTACTCTGGAACCAATTTTTGTATTGTTACAGAATAAGCTGTATCTCTGTATGTTGTTGTTTAAGATACGCTACCTGGAACATAAAGTTTCAAGTAGCACGGGCTATGGTGAGCCCGTTGTCGTGTATCTCTGTATATGAACACTTCTGCCCATACTGTTGAGGCTAAGTGTTGGTAATACGGCTTAACCATTCACCTTGCCTAAGTGTACGAGTTTTTGTTTTGGCCAATTGAAAGTACAGCACCACCATTGTGCTGTACCTTTAAAAGTACAGAGAGAAAGTCTTTTTACATAATTTCAACGACTTCATGCTTATTTTTATTCAGGAAATGTATACGGTGAAGTGATCTAGGAGGCGGATGTGTGAGGGAGTACCGCTGCCTCTCCGACCCCCCACACGCATACACCTCATCCACGAACGCCTGCAGCGGCTAAAATTACCAAGTGTGGTGGCACCCGGCACACCGTCCGCCTGAGAGAGGGCTCACCACCACTGCCGCCACAAGGGAGGGCTCACCACCCCGAAGGAGGGCTCACCACCCCGAGGGAGGGCTCACCACCACCGCCGCTCCGAGGGAGTGCTCACTGCCGCTCCGAGGGAGGGCTCACCGCCTCTCCGAGGGAGGGCTCACTGCCGCTCCGAGGGAGGGCTCACCGCCTCTCCGAGGGAGGGCTCACTGCCGCTCCGAGGGAGGGCTCACCGCCTCTCCGAGGGAGGGCTCACCGCCTCTCCGAGGGAGGGCTCACCGCCTCTCCGAGGGAGGGCTCACCGCCTCTCCGAGGGAGGGCTCACCGCCTCTCCGAGGGAGGGCTCACTGCCGCTCCGAGGGAGGGCTCACTGCCGCTCCGAGGGAGGGCTCACTGCCGCTCCGAGGGAGGGCTCACTGCCTCTCCGAGGGAGGGCTCACTGCCTCTCCGAGGGAGGGCTCACCACCGCCCCAAGGGAGGGCTCACCGCCGCTCCGAGGGAGGGCTCACCACCGCCCCGAGGAAGGGCTCATCACCACCGCCCCGAGGGAGGGCTCACCACCGCCCCGAGGAAGGGCTCACCACCGCCCCGAGGAAGGGCTCATCACCACCGCCCCGAGGGAGGGCTCATCACCACCGCCCCGAGGGAGGGCTCACCACCGCCCCGAGGAAGGGCTCACCACCGCCCCGAGGAAGGGCTCATCACCACCGCCCCGAGGGAGGGCTCACCACCGCCCCGAGGAAGGGCTCATCACCACCGCCCCGAGGGAGGGCTCACCACCGCCCCGAGGAAGGGCTCACCACCGCCCCGAGGAAGGGCTCATCACCACCGCCCCGAGGAAGGGCTCACCACCGCCCCGAGGAAGGGCTCATCACCACCGCCCCGAGGAAGGGCTCACCACCGCCCCGAGGAAGGGCTCATCACCACCGCCCCGAGGGAGGGCTCACCACCGCCCCGAGGAAGGGCTCACCACCACCCCGAGGGAGGGCTCATCACCACCGCCCCGAGGGAGGGCTCACCACCACCGTGAATACTTCCCGGGAGTGACTTTAGGGGGTTCGAGTATCGGCGGAAATCTCATAATCAATCATTCATCACTCGCTGTCTCTTGACACTACCGGGAAACTCGGGACAGCGTCTCTACAACCATCATTTCTCGGGTAATTTAAAACATCTTTACCCAGTCTCCTCTCCCGGCACCTCGGGCACACGACGCCGGTAATGCAATCAGGGTCGGGGAGGGTCGGGGAGGAAACATTCTCTATGGTCCTTCCAAGACGACGAAAACAGGAATTAAGACAGCAACACGTCCCTATGCACTCACCTGCTGGTCATCCAGATCTCGGTCGTCGAAGGTGATATTGAATTTTGTTTTCCCAGACATGGTCTCCAATTTGCTAGAGGAGTCGCCGTGTTACCGATTCTTGCTGGGGAAATGTGTGTCCTGCAACCGAACGGCCGACAACCGGTCGGGCGAACTGCTTCGGTAAATAGGGGGAAACTAGCGCGGTTTTAATATATATTGGTAAAGCACGAAATAATCACACTGACTAGTGAAGCATTAGTGGGTACAAGGCCTTAAGAAAGGTGTATATGGGAGGGAGTGCGAGAGATGTGTGGTGCGTGGCTTGAGGTTGAGAGGTGCGAGGGTGCAGTGCGACCCCTGTGAGCGCTCTGTCTCGACTGACTGGCTGGTGTGGCTGTAGGTGGGGGTCGCTCCTGCCTCACCCTTTCTCCCCAGCCCCCCTGCAACCCCCCGCCCCTCACACTTCGATCACAGCACCTCCTCCATCCCCTTCCCCCTCCACAACCCCCTCTTCCACAACCCCCCCTCTCTTCCACAACATAGCCACGCCCCCGATTCCCCCCCCTCTCCTCCTTCATATTACAGCCACGTCCCCACACACAATCTCCCCCCCCCTAGCGGTCCTCTTCTCTCCCCACCACAACTGCTTTCATTGACGATTTTCCCCCTGGACTTCCTGCCAAAAACAAACAAAATAAAACTCCCCGTGGCTCACATGAGAGGTCCACCTCGTGGCTCATGTGAGAGGTCCACCCCGTGGCTCATGTGAGAGGTCCACCTCGTGGCTTACATGAGAGGTCCACCTCGTGGCTCATGTGAGAGGTCCACCCCGTGGCTCATGTGAGAGGTCCACCCCGTGGCTCATGTGAGAGGTCCACCCCGTGGCTCATGTGAGAGGTCCACCCCGTGGCTCATGTGAGAGGTCCACCCCGTGGCTCATGTGAGAGGTCCACCTCGTGGCTCATGTGAGAGGTCCACCTCGTGGCTCATGTGAGAGGTCCACCCCGTGGCTCATGTGAGAGGTCCACCTCGTGGCTCATGTGAGAGGTCCACCCCGTGGCTCATGTGAGAGGTCCACCCCGTGGCTCATGTGAGAGGTCCACCCCGTGGCTCATGTGAGAGGTCCACCCCGTGGCTCATGTGAGAGGTCCACCTCGTGGCTCATGTGAGAGGTCCACCCCGTGGCTCATGTGAGAGGTCCACCTCGTGGCTCATGTGAGAGGTCCACCCCGTGGCTCATGTGAGAGGTCCACCTCGTGGCTCATGTGAGAGGTCCACCCCGTGGCTCATGTGAGAGGTCCACCTCGTGGCTCATGTGAGAGGTCCACCCCGTGGCTCATGTGAGAGGTCCACCTCGTGGCTCATGTGAGAGGTCCACCCCGTGGCTCATGTGAGAGGTCCACCTCGTGGCTCATGTGAGAGGTCCACCCGTGGCGTGGCTCATGTGAGAGGTCACCCCGTGGCTCATGTGAGAGGTCCACCTCGTGGCTCATGTGAGAGGTCCACCCCGTGGCTCATGTGAGAGGTCCACCTCGTGGCTCATGTGAGAGGTCCACCCCGTGGCTCATGTGAGAGGTCCATGTGAGAGGTCCCCGTGGCTCATGTGAGAGGTCCACCCCGTGGCTCATGTGAGAGGTCCACCCCGTGGCTCATGTGAGAGGTCCACCCCGTGGCTCATGTGAGAGGTCCACCCCGTGGCTCATGTGAGAGGTCCACCCCGTGGCTCATGTGAGAGGTCCACCCCGTGGCTCATGTGAGAGGTCCACCCCTCGTGGCTCATGTGAGAGGTCCACCCCGTGGCTCATGTGAGAGGTCCACCCCGTGGCTCATGTGAGAGGTCCACCCCGTGGCTCATGTGAGAGGTCCACCCCGTGGCTCACATGATAGATCCACCTCGTGGCTCATGTGAGAGGTCCACCCCTGTGGCTCATGTGAGAGGTCCACCCCGTGGCTCATGTGAGAGGTCCACCCCGTGGCTCATGTGAGAGGTCCACCCCCGTGGCTCATGTGAGAGGTCCACCCCGTGGCTCATGTGAGAGGTCCACCCCCGTGGCTCATGTGAGAGGTCCATCCCGTGGCTCATGTGAGAGGTCCACCCTCGTGGCTCATGTGAGAGGTCCACCCCGTGGCTCATGTGAGAGGTCCACCCCGTGGCTCATGTGAGAGGTCCACCCTCGTGGCTCATGTGAGAGGTCCACCCCGTGGCTCATGTGAGAGGTCCACCCTCGTGGCTCATGTGAGAGGTCCACCCTGTGGCTCACATCACAGGTCCACCCTGTGGCTCACGTCACAGGTCCACCCCGTGGCTCATGTGAGAGGTCCACCCTGTGGCTCACATCACAGGTCCACCCTGTGGCTCACGTCACAGGTCCACCCCGTGGCTCATGTGAGAGGTCCACCCCGTGGCTCACATCACAGGTCCACCCCGTGGCTCACATCACAGGTCCACCCCGTGGCTCACATCACAGGTCCACCCCGTGGCTCACATCACAGGTCCACCCCGTGGCTCACATCACAGGTCCACCCCGTGGCTCACATCACAGGTCCACCCCGTGGCTCACGTCACAGGTCCACCCCGTGGGTCACGTCACAGGTCCACCCCGTGGCTCACGTCACAGGTCCACCCCGTGGCTCACATCACAGGTCCACCCCGTGGCTCACGTCACAGGTCCACCCCGTGGCTCACGTCACAGGTCCACCCCGTGGCTCACGTCACAGGTCCACCCCGTGGCTCACGTCACAGGTCAACCCCGTGGCTCACGTCACAGGTCCACCCCGTGGCTCACGTCACAGGTCCACCCCGTGGCTCACGTCACAGGTCCACCCCGTGGCTCACGTCACAGGTCCACCCCGTGGCTCACGTCACAGGTCCACCCCGTGGCTCACGTCACAGGTCCACCCCGTGGCTCACGTCACAGGTCCACAGATTAGGCAAAATTGTAATTAATTTTGTCAATAAAGATGTTAATAATAATAATATAAGGTCCACCCCGTGGCTCACGTGACAGGTCCACCCCGTGGCTCACGTCACAGGTCCACCCCGTGGCTCACGTCACAGGTCCACCCCGTGGCTCACGTCACAGGTCCACCCCGTGGCTCACGTCACAGGTCAACCCCGTGGCTCACGTCACAGGTCCACCCCGTGGCTCACGTCACAGGTCAACCCCGTGGCTCACGTCACAGGTCCACCCCGTGGCTCGTGTGACTCCCAATTTCGTTTCAGATATAGTTCAAGATTTGTTGAGCATTTCTTCTATATGGAGCGTCCCAGGGTGAATCCCAGACCTGCTGCGCTGTTGCACTGGATATTTGCTCGTACATCTGACCGGTTAAGACAACTTGCAATATTGGCAAAGCTGCAGACAGTGGGTATCTCAGGACTCCATTTTCTTCCTTGTGAAGGTAGTGATGTGTTTCAATAACCAACAATAGTGACAGTTGGTGTTAGGGAGGTGTGAAAGCCTCGCAATTGGTGTGACTGTGCTGCAGGGAATTATGCCTGGCCCTCTCTTGTGGAATATCTTCTTCAACGTTCTGCTACAATACAGTACTACAGCCTATGCCGATGGTGGCGATTGTATTCTTGTGGGGAAATATTTCCCACTTACTTATAATAATTAACTACTTAATAAATATATCTAATAATAAATAGCTCCGATGATTATTACAGCTTCTGGTAAACTTATAAGACTAACCATAAATTATTGATGTTTAAAGGAAGAAGATTTGTTCTCTGTTTATAAATAATAACTAACTAAAATGTGCAATAGCAAGATTCTTCCTACTAAGTCTGGCGCCACATTTCTGCCACAACATTCCTCGTCTCATCAAGTTATCACACGTAACTGCTGACTCTCATCATTAATCAAAGTGGACGAAATCAGAGTCAACATTTTAAAGGTCGATTAGATTATTAAAATAAAGTTAATGATAAGGCCTGAAATTATTTAATAGCAACTTATTCTCAAATCGGGAATGGCTAACTTGAGGCTCAAACGCGGGCTGGGAGAGGGAGGAGGCCGTCTTGCACCACGCCTGCTACAGTAACATGTATGACTGGCTTACCACTACGGGCTCACCATAGCCCGTGCTACTTGGGACTTTTTCTTCCAGGTAGCGAATCTTTAACAACAACAACGACTGGCTTAAACTGGTGCTCAGAGGCGAAAAGTGCATCTTGACGGTGACGTTTGGTGTCTTCAACAAATGATAAAAAGCAGGTGCTGCATTTAGCAAGTAAGGCATTCAGAAAACAGTAGTTAAGGAAATAGAATACCTGGGTGGCAGCAGCAGCTGTAAAATATATATATATGAAGCACAAGTTTATAGCACCAGGAAAATCCTCCTCCTCTCTCTCTCTCTCCTCCGAAACTTGAGGCAAAGTGAAATTCACACCAGTTACTCCATCTATCATCATTCTATTATGCAGGAAGTACCGCACGTCTATGGGTCATCCGGTAAGGTTAGAAGACTTCTAGATGTTACCACTGCTAGGCTTAGGCTCGGCTACAAGTACCTCTGGGAATTTGTAAAATCTGCTGATGTAGATTTGACTAAATGTAAACTCTGTCAGCAGAACTATTCGCATACTTTGCGTCATTATATAATGGAATGTGAAAAAATCGCGAAATTTAGAGATAACACCATCAATAGTGTCCAAGAAATGTATAAGTACTTCATTCATAATGATGTACTGCCCGAAATCTTAGCGAGGTATCCAAATTTTGCTTACTGTAGGTAATGCATGCACATGACTGTAAAGCTGCCGCCCAGTTGGGTGGGTGTGGAGCACATGACTGTAAAGCTGCCGCCCAGTTGGGTGGGTGTGGAGCACATGACTGTAAAGCTGCCGCCCAGTTGGGTGTGTGTGCAGCAAGACTAGTAACTGTGTGACTCACCATAGATGTAAAGTGCCTTGTATAGTGACTGTTGTGAGCCTCTTGTTGATCACTTGTGACACAAAAGATCATTGATGTGTATATTTGTGTGGGTGATTAAATATCTATCTGTATGTATATATGTATACGTATATATACATACATATGTACATGTATGTATGAGAATGTGTACATGTATATATATAACATTAATAATTTTGTAACTAGCGTCAAAAAATTTTTTATTTGCTTAGCTAAACAAACTAGAGGGTTCAGTTCCTGAACCGATTATGTGCCTCTGTAATCCTTTACACCACCGCTCACGAGATGGGTATGGGGTGCATAACAAAGAAAGAAATTGAATTCTCTCCTCCCTCTCTTTTTCGTCTTCCCCCCCCCTTTTCTCACCCTTCCTAATTCTGCCTCCCCTCCTTGAGATGAGTAAGAGGTCAGGAGTTGACCTCGCCCTCCATTAGATAAGAGACATGTCAAACAACTTTTAAGGGGCCGGTGTATGGGCAC